TTATTTATTTATTTGATTTTTACCCCGCCCCTCTAGACCATGTCTACTTTTTTGAAACATCAAAAAGTCATTTCAGAACACTGAATTGCATGTGCTTCTTGCACTGAGCTGCTACGTGTGTACTTTGACTCTCACTAATTAGTTATCTAAGAATGCAATCCTAACTGGCCAAGAAGGTTGAAGGCCAATTGAATGAATATTAGGCCAGTGGAAGCTCTGCTGATTCCAAATCTCTCTCAGACTAGATATGTTAGAAATTCTTTAGGATTACCCTCACTACAGTCTAACATTTTGCTGTTAGCTGTGCCCCTGGGCTAGAGGAGGTTTGTCATTATTTAACTCCTCTCTTGCTCTGCCCTTTCCCTGCGCCCCCATTTTTTTACTCATCTGTTGGCAGATCTTAGACAACAGACATGGATTGAATGGATCTCTGCCAGTATAAAGGATCTGTGCCAGCAGAAGAGACTGCTACCTATTTCTAAACCCCTACAATCAGTGCATCACTGAGTTGCTATGGTAGGCTCCAATCAATATTTAACTGGGAGTGACTCCCATTGAACTCAGTCAGGCTTGCTTCTGGGTTGACATGTGCACTCTTACTCTTTAGTTGATTAATCTACAGGTTCCTCCCTGTGGTGGTATTTTGGCTTTGAAATCTTTCAACTGAGTGACTCCCATATTCCAGACTTTTAAGACAGAGATTAAAAAGCATTTCCAACATTTAAATTTAATTACATTGATAGTAAAACATTATGATTTTGATGGTGGTTTGTTTTATCTTAGATGCTTGCTTTTTTACTGTAGTGTTTTAAAATCTGTGCTTTTTTATTTGAATTTTTTTACCATCTTGTGTTTAATATTAAGACATTTTGAGTTTTCCTTGGACAGAAAAATAAATCTAAATACTTCAATATAATTTAAGTATCTGAAATAACTGGGTATCTGTATATGTCTGTCTGTCTGTCAGTCTATATCTATCTATCTATCTATCTATCTATCTATCTATCTATCTATCTATCTATCTATCTATCTATCTATCTATCTATCTATCCATCCATCCATCCATCCATCTATCTATCTATCCATCCATCTATCTATCCATCTATCTATCCATCTATCTATCCATCTATCTATCCATCTATCCATCTATCCATCCATCCATCCATCCATCCATCCATCCATCCATCCATCCATTCATTTCTGTATAACCAACTGTATTTACTCAAATCCAGAAATGTCTCAGCATTGTATAGATACATGTAGCAGCCCAGACCAGCACATGTTTAATCAGACATAAGCTGCACAATGTTCAGTGAGTCTTACTCTCGAATAGTAAGTACACATAGATTTGCCTAAGCCTGGAATTTTACAATTGCTTTAGAGTCAGCCCCACTGAACCAGTTGGAGTTGATTCGAAGTATTTATATTGTGTATTCTGCAAAGGCCTGTATTCTGTGCAATAAACTGAATTTTGATTTGGCTTCAGATTGGAGATATGTAGGACTGCAGTCCACGATTCTTGTTAAGCCTACAGTGTGTTAATGCTGGTTTTAAATTAAGTTCAGAGGTACAGCTGTTTAACTGGCTTGTGGATTGATAGCCTTTACATAATTAATACATAAATATTTGTGTAATTTGTTTAATGCCCTCTAAGTGTTTAAATATGAACAAATAGCTTTGCTATCACTAACTGATTTAGGTACATTGTGGGCAGGCATCAAGACAGAAGGTGGATTGTCACAGACACAGTCACCTGGACAGACAGGCTTTCTGAGCTATGGCGCTAGCTTTAGCACTCCCCAGCCAGGACAGGCACCTTACAGTTACCAGATGCAAGGTCTGTATAAAAAAAATCAGAATTCATTTGGTTCTTACATAACTGTTCTGGTTTCGTTATAAACATACATTGAATTTAAAAAATCAAGAATTGAATTAATTCTATTAACCAATTGAAGGTGATAGTAGTGTATTTCATATGTGGAATTAGATCAATTTTAAATGCACTTAAATACCACTGTTAACTATGAATTAGCCTGTTCCATTCAAGCCACAGATTTTAGTGTCTTTCTCGATACTAATATTTTCAATGTGGCAATTTTATGATCCAATTATTCAAAAACATTCTTATTTTAAAGTTCTTTTTCTTAAAAAACAGCTCTCTTTTGGGGTACAAGGCGAAACAGTGTGAAAATTGTATCAAGAATATAAATACAGGTTGACATGATTTCATCCCTTAGGTGTGTTTTTTAATCCGTAAATTCCCTACAAGTTGACTTGTCAGAATGATTTAGTTAATTCTGGCAGTATACTTTGGAAGTTGCATAAGTAGTAGATGCTATCAGTTGTGGGTTTCCCCCCAAGCAATTTAAATGTTTACTTGATATTATACTTTATGCTTAATACATTGTATATTTCTTTGTGTCAATGATTATGGAATCAAGCTATCCTTAGGAACAGTAAAATGGATTCAAAACTGACCACAAATGTGATATCTACATTTAGATTGGGTCAGTAAAAGCTATGTGTGTTGTGCCTGTTGGAAACCTAGAACAGATATTTTGAAGCAGAGAGACATTAGTGTATTAACTGGGTCAGACGGTGTGGATGCTGAATAATGTTTAGGACTATTGATCTTAGCCTGTAAGCAAGGGAAACATTTACCATATTTTTTGCTCTGTAAGACACACTTTTTTCACCAAAAAAA